GGCAACCTCCGCGCAGTACAGGCAACTTCTAAATGACTATGGACCCCCTTCTCTAGGCTACACGCAGGGGATGCAGGTACAGTCGGGCTGGCTAGTTGTTCTTTCTTTAATGGGGTCGCTGACCCTAGGCTTGCATAGTGCTGTGAATGGTGGCCTGTAATCCGAGGTGTTCCCCCCTCCCACCTAGCTTTGAAATCAAACCCAAATGGCAGCCTGATTCATCACACATGTCTTGGGATCAAATTAGACTAAGCAGAGTGCTGAGTGAGATTAGTTACTAATTAACTGTTAGTCTCTTCCCTTCTGACTAGTAGTGAACCATGTCTTGAGTTACGTTTTGATAATAAGGGTTGTATAGTGTTTTAAATTATTTGATTAAAAAGTAATATCCCTACATCTTTAACTGCTTTCCTAGGGTAAATGTATACTTTAAATGTACAGCCTCGTGAAACGTGTTACAGAGATTCCTATGGATTGCTTTCAGGAATCCAACTGGTAAACTTTCTGTGAAACATTTTTAACATTTTAACAGGATTCCCATGTCATATGGGTAGCTTTCTTGTATCTACTTCTCACTCTCTCCGCCTAACTCCTCCACAAAATATGCATCCAAAAATTACAGAATCACAGAACAGCTGAGGTTGGAAAGGACCTTTGGAAATCATCTCGTCCAACCGGCCTCCTGCTCAGGCAGGGTCACCTAGAGCACGTTGCCCAGGGCTGTGTCCAGGTGGCTTTTGAGGATTTCCAAGGATGGAGATTCCATGACCTCTCTGGGCAACGTGTTCCAGTGCTCAGTTACCCTCACAGTAAAAACTTTTTCCTTATGCTCAGATGGAACTTCCTGTGTTTCAGTTTGTGCCCATTGCACATTGATAAAAGCAGAAGGAGAGATAAATAAGCTGTTCTCACATTGCTGTTTTTGCAGGACTGATTTAACTTCTGTTTCGCTTAAGTCCCAGTCCTGCAGCCGCATCCTCCCAGTTAATGCCTATTTTCCAAGGATGCAGAGCATTGTGTCCAATGGTAGGAGAAAATGCAAAAAGAAAATCATGTTTATGTAATAGAATTGAAACTTTCTTTTTTTTTTTTTTAATAACGTGTCTTCAATGGCAGTTTCTGGTATTTCATGAATTTTGGATTGCTGTTTGTTTCTTTTTTGTATTGCTCTTTTTAGCAGTATTTATTGAAATGATTTTGCTTCCTACTACAGGGCACCAGCAGCAGTCAAGTACCACAGAGCAAATATGCAGAACTTCTAGCTATCATAGAAGAATTAGGAAAAGAGATTAGACCCACATATGCTGGGAGTAAAAGTGCGATGGAAAGGCTAAAACGAGGTAAAGTTTAAAATTGTTTTTTTTTTTTTTTAATGTGTCTATACTTTTTTGGCATGAACTGCTTAAATACTGTTCCATGACAACTGCTACCTTTGAAAGGCAGCAGCTGTCTTCAGGTGACTGTTAAGCTAGATGTATTAACAAGCAACTGAATCTTTGGAATACTGTATTAAGGCAGCGTTGATAGATAAAGCAGTGGATGAATGTACCTCATATGAATAAAGAGAGTTTCAGTTAATAATTCAAACTTTATTTGGATCCCTTAAGGTGTTAGTTGGACATGTGTTGTCAGAGTCCTGGAGACCGACTTACCCCTTCAATTCCCTTTTGTGCCACGACTCTAAAATATCCAGTCAAGCATTGTTTACTTCCCCTCGTAAACATCACCCTTCTACTTGACCCAGGAGTCTCTACTGAAGTGTATTTTGCTTAAAGAAATTCTATGTCCTACTAAATCACACTGAGGCCAGTGGTGAGAAGAGCTGGAATAAAAAGGAGAGATGTCGTTAGTGAAAATTGCACAGGGACGGAGACTTGAAGCACACATATTCTTCTTGTCTCTGGAGCATCTGGCTCCTTAGGCTCTATTACCTGTTGTCAAGTGGACATCTTTAGGAGTCTCCTTGTTGGAGTCTAACAGTGTCCTAGGCCTAGCTGAGAAGGCCTTTTAGCTTTGCTTAGTTGGCTAAAAAGGGTCACGTAATTGCCCTTTCCTTGCAGTGTAAAAGAAACCCCTGCATGCCCTACCACTGACATCAGTCTGACATTGTCCTGCACAGGGGACATGTGAGGGTTATTTCTGAAGGAGCAGGGGGACATTCCACCGCTCTAGCTCCAGAAATGACCGTGAAAGGCCATCGCCAACAGTTGTGCTGGCTGTCCTGTCCTCAGCTGGCATGACATAGTTACCTTTTCCTCCCTTTGCTTGGTCCTTGTCCTGTGTTTGACTCCTGCATTCAGCCTTGAATGGGAATCTTACTGTAACAGACTAACGTGGCCACCTTGCAAACCCCCTTTACATTTACCCAAGACTTCAGAGTTGTGTTTAAGGCTCAGCCATTATGGGAGAGTAATATATCTGCCATGACATGCAATAAAATGACTAGTAGCTGTTCTGGGAAAAGGATGCAATAAAGTCTGCTGATGAGTGGTAAGTGGAATCTGGCCCAGCTAAAATCAATGTTACTGGAGTCTCTCTTTATGGCATTGCCTGAGTCAGTATTAATAGATCATGAATGGCAATAGGCTAATGGGCATGACTTGAGAGACACTGGGAGAGAGGCAGACATTCTCTCTGAACGGGTCAGCTAGGTGAGGGAAAGTTGACTTGCTATTTCCTGCAGCATTGAGGTTGTTTGATAATGTAGCTTTAAGATTCAGTACTGTAACTGTGACTGGTGTGTCAGTGTTGCAAGAAAATCAGAAATAAATACCTTTTGCTGCCATCTTTTGGTCACAGACATAGCTTTCTATCCATTTTGGGAGCCTTCTGGCTGAAACAGCTTATGCAGGCGTGAGGGAAAGACTGAATGAGGGTACCCACATGTCTGCAGCCTCCATGGCCGTGTGGAGGATCTTCCTGAATAAAGTCTCTGTCTCCAGCTCCACCTGCTCCTCAGGACAGAGGCTACTGACCTCCAAAACTGGCCAAATTCCCAGTGTTCTACATAATTCACAGTAGCTCTGCTGCATAAACTGGGCGTCCTGCCACCATACCCAGGTCTAATGTGCTGCTGTGGGTATGCAGCTCTGCATCGCGTCGCTGCAGGCTTTGCCTGCTATGTGTCAGTTTAACCTCTGCAAAGCCTTGGACACAGCGGCCCAGGTCACTGCTCCTTGGGTGTAAAGGCTGTTGCTCTCATTTGGGCAGGCAGCCTTCGAGAGTCCAAATCTGTTGTCTCTAAACAGCGCTTAACGTTGCTCTGTTGTCTTACTGTGATTTCCTCACCTTGTTAGGGAGCACGAGGGACCACAGAAATAATCTGAGCCTCTATCTGATGCTGTCAATAGAACATAGCCTCGTTTGTCACTGGAAAATCTGCCCAGGATGTCTCATTTTAAGATTTTACTCAAGCACTTGTTCTTCTGGTAGCTCTAAGAATATGAATACAGTTTGCATTCCAGGATTAAGAATCAAGGTACAGCTTGCTGGAACTCCATGGAACAGGACTTAGTGGGAAATTCCAGCTTACATCTCTCAAATGAGAATAGATATGGCAGCATGGAAAGTAGTGATCAATGACACTGGAAGCTGATCCAGTGCTGGGAGCTAACTTTTTGCACACACCACTAAAAACCTCCTCTTGTTCTTTTACAAGGCAGTACCTGAGCTGAGGCAGTATTACAAAAATTCAGTTTTTGATGCATCCTCTCAGAGGAGAATTACTCCAAGGTATTAATTGAGGCTTTTACAGCTTGCTAAAATGAATCCCCAAATTACTTCATGTCTTCTTTCACCTAACTGTAGCAAAGTAACTGACAGGTAGGCAAGATGATTTTTTTTTTCTCTAGTTAAACCCCTAAATAGGCCTGCAATGCTAATTGAGGTGTACCTGTCACTGCAGATATACAAAATTTATAATGCTCCGATTCCTGCTTTAGTATCTTTTCAATTTATAATGACAGCCTGCAAAAAGCAAACTTCTAGCTTAGGCTTATGTTTGGAAAGGACATGGAGGAAGGAAAAACTCTCCTTTTTTTCTGGAGTATACTGGGATTGTTTTGGTAATTCAGAACAGAAATAAATCTTTCTTTGGATTGTCACTGCAAGAGTCACCTGAAGGAGATGATTGATAAAATGTCCCATTCTTTTGCAGGCATTATTCATGCTAGAGGACTAGTTCGGGAATGCTTGGCTGAGACTGAACGAAACGCAAGATCCTAGCCCACTAATTCACCTGCCAGATTTCCAAGATCTCCTAATGAAGAAAAAGTAATACTTATTCCTTTGACTCTTGAAACATTCAGATGAATTTCTTTATTTTGAATGTTTTACCTTTCTTTTGCCCTTACAAATGTGTATAGTTAAGAATGAAAAAACAAGGATTTTTCAACTTACGAGGGTTTGCATTTTGTAAAGACGTTAAAACACCCAAAATATTTCTAAAACACAAAACCTGAATTGCATGCAGAGGAATGCTCTCTCTCTTCCAGGCTTTATTTCAGTTCTCTTCCTATCCAGCCACAGTCTTTTTCTTTTGACTATATTCACTTAACCCCAACTGCCCATCTTTGACATAAACTCTGAGGATTTTTTTAATAAATGCAGAATAGCATGTGGTACCTAGTAGTCTGCTATGTCACAATTTGTCATACAGCATAGACCCTGCTTAGCAATAACCTTCCCTTCCTCTTACTTTTCCCTTTTTTGTTTGTTTTGCATAAACATTTGCATGAGTGTTAGTGCTTTGAAGTCCATTTAAAGTGCATGACTTATATGGAAAATAGGGAAACCTATTGAATAATAACAAGGTCCCAGAAAGCTAATTTCTACATTACGGCTGGAGATTTCAGTTTTAAGTTTGCCAAAAAAAAAAAAAAAGAAAATTCTGGATAAATTACTAAAACTGTTATTTGCATCTTTGTATGTATTTATTACTTGATGTAATAAAGCTTATTTTCATTAACAATTTGTATTAAAACTATGTACAGTCACTTTAATCAAACTCATACCGTGTGTGCAAGGGAACTCTCAATAGAGAAAGGTTTAACCTTCACGCAGGAGGCTCAAGTTCAAGAAGAGCCCAGAGGATGGGACTGCAGAGTGCTGGAGACTTTCCATCCATGGCACAGTCCTGATGCAGTCATCTCTGCAGGAAGGAGGTACAGCTGCTAGGTAGTCTCCATTGCTTTTAAAATACACACTACAGCTCCGGCTGTGAAGGCTCTCCCCTTCCTTGTTGAAGGTCAGAACTCAGTCGTAGCCTGTGATGTTCCTGTCTAGAAATTAAAGACAAATTTCCCATTTGGCAACTGGACTTCTTAATAATACTAAAATGGAAATGTATATCAGCCCCAAACTAGCAGGAAAAAAGTCTCAGAAAACCTAGCATATCTGATACATATGGCAGTTCAGATACTTGAAGATAATAAAACATTAAGAGAAAAAAAATTATTTCCATCATAGCTTGAATGAATAGGATTCTGTTGCATTGTCAGGTATCTTGCAACGTGTGTTTTTCTAGATTTTTTTTAATCTGTAATGATCTAGCTGTACATTTGAGCTGGAAGAAAATACCTGACAACTGCCATTTGCGGGAGCAACCCTCTCCCTTCCCCCACATTCTTAGCTGCTGCAGGTAATTCTCACTGAAGTTTAAGCAGTAGCTTTCAGAGCTGGAGTGGAACAAGAACATTTATGCTGGCAGTTCAGCTGACACAGCTGAAGGGGGCAGCCAGTGATTGGAGCTGGTTACGCCACCTCTAGTGGTATCACAAAGCAACCTGCTCCGTGTCTCATCTACACCACATCACTGTTTATGCAACATTCTGGTATCAGTGGAGGCAGTGGTCAAGTAAAAGAAGGAAAGTTATAACTTTTTGGTGGTGTTCTTGTGTCTCGGAACTCCTAATGGGTTGAGTTTTCTTTTTGTCTCTGTTAACAGCATTGGAAAGTTTATCATCCCCTTTCAAAATGATGGGATTACCATATTTTGAACTTGGCAGAAGAACTGATTGCTGAACATGAGCAATGAGATGATGGCAGGCAGAAGAAGGAATATATAATTGCTTTTAATACTTCCATTTACAGAAATAGCAGGTCACTACTCAATTCTTTTAGCTGTGTTTATGAAGCCCTACCGTAGCTGACAGTTAGGAAACTACATTTGGATACAGTCACGTACTGCTTTCCTTACCCAGTTAAGTCAAGTCAGTATTTCAAATGTTTAGTTCCCATCTAGTTGTTGCATCTCTTTAAAATGCCTTTTTCTTTCTAGGTTTTCCTTTGCTCTTCTTTTCTTTTCTTGCTTCTTCTTCTCTGCTGCTTTCTTCTCTTTAAAAACATCGCTATTTTCACCTTTATAGAAGAGGTCAACCTTTTCCTGCAGGATTTCTCTGGCTATCTTTCTATTCTGCTCTACTGATCTTGTTTGATGACACTGAGGAGAGAAAAGAAAAACAGAGTAGAACATTTATTTTGAGACCTGAAGCCATTTATTCTTCTCTTTTCCCCTTCAGTCTAAATATTTCACCTGAACAAGGATTGTAAGATCAGATCCTAATTAGGAAGGATGTATTCTGGACAGACTGCCTAATAATCAATTGTTACTGCAATTTGGCAGGCTGGCTTTCACATTAATCTTTAATTCTGTCAGCAAACACAATTGCTTCCATGTTACCTCAGAAAGTTGCTTCTGAGCTTAACTGTGTCTTCCCCTTCTTACAGTAAGGAAGTAAAGATTAATTTCAAAAGTAAGTTTTAGTTCATGGTACGTAGGGAGGAGTTATACTTAAGAAGAATATGCAAAATGACTATGATCACCTCGTTAAGAAAGACCTTTTAAGACTTATCACTGAGATATCACTGAGAACATACAAAGAAAGCTACAGAACAGTAGCATTTGCCAAAGCTTAACCCCAAGATCAGCTTAGCCTCAAGTCTATTAATGTTAACCAACCATGTTCCTTTCTGAGGTTCTTTATAGCGCATATCAATAAACTTCTCCTTGACTCTTGCACTGAGGATATTCTTAACTTTAAAAGGTAGTTTGGCAGACTTAATGTACTTTACGACTTAATGAAATAAAATATCATTACCTTAATGACAATCCCAGTGGGAATATGCTTCAAGACAACACAGTTGCTTGTCTTATTAACGGCTTGACCTCCTGGACCATCACCTTTTACAAACTGTTCTTTCAGTTCTGCCTCATTTAGTGCAAGGAGATTGGAAGAGTTCTTCTTTCCTGCTGCCTGGAATAAAGGCAGCCTGATCAGGGAAAACTGCTGTTTCCTCAGCATCCATGGCCTCCAAAGTGCTGCACTTGCTTCTTTCAGTGAGAATGTAAAATAAAATAAACTTGGAGCATTCATACAGAAGGGAAGATACAGCTTCCTCTGCAAAACTGAAAAGGGGGAAGAGAAGATACCATCAGAATCCCTGTTTTAAGAACTGGTTTCATAGACCTTTGTCTTGAAATATTCACCATTCCAAATGGAATTTCATTTCTGATGTTGATGCTATCCATTTTTTTGATCATCCTTCTCCACTCCTGTAACTTTCTTTCAGTGAAAAAGCAGCCCCAAGTTTTTCCAGCTGCTGCTTCATCCAGTGACTCTTTCTTAAGGTCAAGTTTTTAATGGTAACCTGAGCAAGGCAACGTGCATTGTGTTTTAGCACTTCATGGCTAAAAAATGAATGCCAGGTTCCAGTGCTGTGAAATGGCACTTTTTAAAGAAATTAGGTAAATTAGGTAATTAAAATAATGGACGCTTCTGTGAAATATTTTGCGTGATTCATAAGAAAATAGTTAAGCATGAGAGCGAGTGGCTATAAACAGCCATACAGGTTAACTCTAAGTGCCGGAATCACTGCGATTTTAGGAACGCTTTTATTTAAGGCCACAACAGCCGCCTGGTGGCAACAGCAGACAACAGAAATGCTTCCATAAATAAACAACCGTTGGGAGAGGGAGCGGGGCGCGGGCGGAGGAGGCCCGGGGAGGCCGCGGCGCCCCGTGCCGGGCACACAGCCCGCCCGCCCCGCGAGGCCGGTGCGGGAACGCGGCGGGGCGGCTGCCGGGACCGGCGGGGCAGCCCGGGCGCCCCCCGCGCCGCCGCTTACCTCAGGCGGCTCCGGGCAAGCCCCGCGCAGGCATCACCGCGCTCCTGCGCATGCGCGGCCGCCTCGCTCTGCGCAACAGCCCCGCCCACTCGCGCTGCGGGGCAAGCGCGGCCAATGAGGGGGCTGCCACCATGCGGCGGGTTCCGCTAATTGGTCCCCGAGAAGCCAATCGCTGCCTCAGAGGCGGGTTTACGCACGCGCCGCCGGCGCCCCCAATCAGGCGCTGGGAAGCCGATCCGGCGCGTAGCCGCAGGGGCCAATCCCGTCGCGGCGACGCGCGTACCTCCCCACAGAGCCAATGAGAGCGAAAGGCGCGGCCAGGCGCGCGGCCAAGGCGGCCAATCAGCGAGCGGCGCCGCGTCTCTGGTGCCCCCTAGCCCGCCACGCTCGCATCGCGGCCGCCAATCGCGGGGCAGGAGGCGGGCGCCGCGCTTGTTTACGGCCTCGCGGCCCCCGTCCCGCCGCTGCGCGCGCCCGGACATGCGGGTAGGGAGCGGGGAGCTCCGCGGCCGCGCGGGTCGGGGCGGGACGGGACCGGGCGGGGCGGGCGCTCGGCCGCGTCCCGGCGCCTCGGGGCCGCCCCCTTCATCCCGCCCAAGTGGCCGCGGAGTGGCGGGCCCGCCGGCCAACCGGGCGCCGAGGAGCTGTCAACATGCGCGGGCGCG